GTGAGTGAGGACAGTCACAGTGGAAGTACAGAGATACATGATACATCCTTTAATTCCCTGGACAGAGGATCCACTCCACTCCAGGACAACTAATGGCTTTTAAAGACCATATACCTGCACCTCTACCAACTTGCAGTGCAGTTTCTCTGCACTCCAGCCTCTTCAGTTTCATGCAAGACGATTTTCTCTGAGCCAGGAGACATGACCCACAAGAAGAGAAACAGACACGGCCCTCGATGTTGGCACAGTGGAACAACTTCTCTTCTTAAATAAAAAACAAAAAGGATAACCTTAAATGCATTATGGTTTATGTCACAAGTTCATAAGGACTTCTTACCTGTTTATAATCAGTTCCACCCCCAGGTCAATAACATGGAAATTTGGCCAATATATAATTTATAAACATGTAACTGGACAGTTTGACACAGGTATGAGTATGTGGAGGGAGGAAGTTTGATCAATAAATCAAGTTTATTAAACATATGCAGGAGCAGGAGACGCTCAACCTGGAAATCAGTGACCTGAAATCCCAGCTCTGCTCCAACAAGGCCCTCCATGATTTGAAGGTTGAGTCTCTTAACCAAGAGCTGAAAGAGGCCAAAGCGTCCTACCTTAAAATCACACAGGAGCCGGAAGAACAAAATTCCACTGATGCAAATGAATTGCAAACATCTGAGCCTCTGAAAGAAAAAGTCACTGGAGAACAGGAGAAGATGGAAAAAGAGGACTCGCTGCCATCCACTGCAATGTCTCTGCAGGAGCCTCTGAAAGAAAAAGACACCAGACAACAAGAAAAAGAAGAAAAAGAGGACTCGCCTGTCTGTGCAGGAATCTTTGCAAAGTCTACGAGACAAACAGAAAATGCTCACTGTGAAGGTGGCTGAACTCGAAACTGAGGTTAAGAGCCTGCCAGAGATTCTGCCAAGTAAGAAGAAGAAGAAGAAGAAGAAGCGGAACTGGCTGCTTCGGCTTTTCAACTAATCGGACTCAACATCATGTTGATGTTTCCGGAGGAGGGACACTACCAAGAAAAAGTTGTCTTAAGTATAAAAAGAAGAAATGGGTAATAGCTGCATTTGTGTTTGTGTGTGTGCATAATCTGTAAAAAACCCCAATTCTTTGATCTTCGGGCTGAAGGAAGAACAACACTCGGTGTTTAATGCTCAATCAACTCTCACTTTAATCAATACAATTTTCTTTATTCCATACAACACTTTGAGCATTACAAACGTCCGGACGGGACACAAACTCTTTATAGCCTCGGCCCCCACAAAAGTCACAAACATTCACATTCTTTCTCTCTCCCAGTGAGCCTAAGTTACGACCTTGGGTTCCTGTTTTTTCTCCTCCTGTGTGAAATTGTCACAATGGGACTGAACGGACTCACGCGCAGGCTCTAGGTCTTGAAAGCACAAGAGTCTTTATTACGATACACCAGGTGATTATTTACAAAAGTGAGGGGAAAGCTGGGCTCCGGGGGTCCACACACGAACGGGAAAGACGCCGAACGTCACACACACACTCCGTCCACTCCTCACGCTCCTCTTCACACTCCAATCACTCAGGTAACACAGGGGTTGGTCCAGGGAATCTGTACACAGAGACACGAAGGGATTATAAGGCAAATCGCTGTGAAAACACTCTAGAAGTAACTGAGCTGGGGTTACACTGACAAGGGTCGGCAACGGTCCAGCGACGAGAAACACAGAGCTGCCATCTTATAAAGGAGCTGGAACACTCGTGATGAGCCACAGGTGCGTGGGCCAAGGGCAGGAGCCCACAGGTGAGCTCCGCCCAGGCAGAGGGAGGAGGGAAAAAGGGGAAGGGAGAGAGCAGGAACAAAAAAAGAATATAAAAACATATGTAGCCATACTGAGCCGACCGGGTAGGCACAGGGACCCTGACAGAAATGAGGGAGAATCTCCCGTGCAGTATGTTCTTTTCTCTTTATAATCAGAAAAGCAAGGCCATGGTTCTATGCAAACAGTATTTCTTTATAAATCAGCAATATAAGGTATCATAAAACATAAAACAGTGTAATTCATTCGCAATAATAAAGCAGCAGTATAGTGTAATACAAATCAGTGTGCTAATTTCACAAAAGTATAATGCAAGATGCTTGGAGAAGCGAGATCCAAGAGGACATAGATGAAAACGACTGGAACCTGGCTTGCACACAAAAACAAACAACACACGCTTTAAACTACTGCAATATAAATGGCTCATGAGACCCTATATAACACCTGTCAAGCTTCATCATATGGCCGATGATTTTCCAGACATCTGTACTAAATGTTTAGTTTGTCTTGATGCATTCTCAATCATCCAGGAAAATAAATCTCCAAAAGTGGATTCTGTTCATCTGGACGTAGCGTTTTCTTTACACCTACAGGTCAGTGGACACTCTTTCAAGGATGAGGATGTAACATCCTGGACAGGGAGGAA